CAGCAGCTGGCGGGGGAGCAATACCCATGTGCCTCTTGTCCTACTTCCCCACTCCACTACCTGTGGGTCTGCCAAATGTATTCTCAACTAGGACAGGGAAAAAAAAAATATTTAGCTAAACGTAAGTATCAACATACGTCATTCCCTTTAACAACTTTAAGGTAAGCTATTAGCTCAAAATGCTGTTGATGATTCAGATTTTTCGTTATTAAAACAACCTGATCACCCACAATATCAGTCTAGAAAATAAGGAAAGCCCTCTTGCAAAATTAGCAGTCACACTTCCACTGGTTTTGATTACAGTTGGTTGAAGCTCTTCAGCCTAATACTGTGGGATAATAAACTTGAAGAGGTCACCAATCACTGGTGCCATGTCCTATAGCAGTAGAATCCACAGGTGAATAATTCTTCAGCTAATATATACTGTTGGTCTCATCATCGATGCAAAGAACACAGCCACTAGATTTTCTAAGTGGTTTTACACCTACTGCATGACCCAGTCAGACCATCTGACGTCCCAGATTAACAACCATGACATTATATGAACAGAAGACCTTTTTATTGGGAGGTCTAAAAAAACCCCTTCCTTTTTGCCCTGAGCACCTAACGTCTACGGAAGGCAAAAAAATAGCCACCTCCATTCCCACAGATCCGCAAGTCAGTAAAGCAATCGTTTGAATTGTTGCTAATGTGTGTTGTATTGTAAAGAAGCAAGGAATTTTGTAAATTCCTACAAATAATATTCACTGGAGTTGTTGATAAATCTACTGTTCATTCCTGCACATAGCACAACTCAGAACAGTAATTCGAGCAGTTGTCTTTAAAGGCTCATTACACAGCTATGATGGCTGCAAGAAGCAGCAAAGAGCGATGGAGAACTTTGAAGACCCATAGTGAAATTCTGGATATACTAGAGGTAGCAGAAAAACAGCTACAGACATAAAGTCAGGCTTTTCTGTTTGCATCCCGTTAGTGGCTCTGTCATTAGCTCACTGCATGATCTCAGACAACTTGCTTCATCTCTGTGACTTTTTTTTCCATACACCTTCCAAGATTATTATACTTCCCTGTGTACAGTCATACTCGGATAGTCCCAATGCTTTTCAAGGTACTTTTCTTTGAAAATGAATCCTTAGATGACTTGCACAAACTCAGTGTCTGTGCCTTTGCCCCTATTCCAGCAAAGGAGCAGTTTATGGGAGAGCAAAAGCAGCAGATAGGGAGCTCGTGATAAACTTCTTATATCAACATGCACAGCTGCAAAATTGCAGGGTTTGTGTTTCCCTGGTTTACCTTTTTTTTTTAATTACAACTTCTTCTTAAAAAGCAAAGAAATCTAGAAAGCCAGTGTATATCCATGAATATACATATGAAATTATGACATATCCTTTAGGCAGAGCCTATGACTTACTGCGTGTTCAGGCCTCATGTCTGGTATTACACGGTCTCAGTACGATCATGATTGGGATGTATATTTGCAACAAATTGTGCTGCAAACATAAACATTTTAACTTTATTTTGCAATTCTGGTTAGAGGATGAACCACAAAAACCTAGACTTTTAATGTAAGACATCCACTTGTCCTGCACATTAATCACTCTTATGTGGCCAAAGGGAGTTGGTCCAAGTAGAAACGTATATAGGGAGATGTGCTTGATGACAGTTTCATTTAGAGCCAGAGCTGCATTTAAAAAAAAATAAAAAGCAGGGAAGAATGAAGTTAGAACAACAATGCTGGGATGGATCACTTACTCATTGCTTGTTCTGTGAACCTGGACCAGCCTGATATGTTTTTATCTTATGGGTCTTAATACTATCTGTGCCAAAGGAGTTTCTACAGCTTTGTAATAATCTGCACCACTGCTCAGCTCTCTACCTTGCTATCCTATAAAATTGAGCCTAGGTTTTATTTAGCCCAAGCTAACTCGTTATTTATCTCTGAAAGAAGTCGGAAACAATAGAACATCATAACCTTTTATTGACCAGAAGATCAACATGCTTCTCAGTTCCTCTTTCTAGATTAACAACCCAAACTCCTACAATTTTTCTGCGTAAACCTCTTGTTAGATGTTTAGATAGATGCTCTATCTTTCTTGGAATGTGATAGCCGTAGTACTTGCACAGAGGAGTACATTACTTCCTGTACCTTACCACAGTATTCCTGCTAATACACTGCTGAAATTCACATCCTAATTAGTTTGTGATCCATTCCAAACCTCTGTTGAATGTACAATATGACTGTCAATTGCCACAGGAAATACATGCACAATAATCACTAAACAGCTCTGTAATTCAAAAGCTTGGGATATCTTTAAGCCAACAGATATATTCCAGTCCTCTTTCTCTTCTTCCCATTACTCTAATACAGCTCTGCTATCATGAAAGCACGCTTTATCTGCTAAAAATATCTTTCAAAACAAATCATCACATAAATGACCAAAAACTACTTGCTTATTCAATGAGAAAGTTTATATACATCTGCCAAATAAAAATGAAAATGCATCATTTAATCCGAAAAAATGCGTCTGGAATTTTTGTGTTGCTCAATCCTGCATTTTCCGTAAACTGTGTGAGAAATCATGCAATGATGAACATTCATAAAAACCTATAGTACCAGAAAACTTCTAAGGTGCATGATTCAGAGGTGAAACAAAGAACATAATGCTGCTGGGCAGTTTTTGCCATACAGCTACTTACATACCCGTCCCTGGCGTTAAAGATGTCAAAGAACAATTCTGAAGAAGAACCTGAAATGGTAACAGTGGATCCAGAAAGACTTTTTGAATTAAGCCACAGTGGGATGAGATGGGGAGGAAGAGGGTGTTCTTCCTATTTCCACTGTCCTTTACCTTTCTCCTTGGAAAAAACCAAACAGGAACCAGCTTTTCCACTCAGACCACCGTCAGTTCAATTGTAATATGGATTGGAGGTATGAATGTGTGAACTAGCCACATAAAACATCTCAAAAGTAAGACTGTATGGATTATGCTATATAAACTGCACATATCTGAATCCAAGTTACACTCTTCTAATCAATAATAACTCTTTACTGTCCAAAGAAGCCTGAAATACTGTTAGATATATTATCATTCCAATAATGCTTTATTTGCTATCACTTTTTAATCAACGCATGAAGATGCTTTATTTTAAAAACTATAGGTATCCAGAAATAAATTAATACTGAGAGGTTCGTTCTATTCCTATGAATCTGAAACTCTGAAGGAAAGAAACCTGAATCGACAAATGTATTCTACATTTCACATTTATTCTTCCACATTTTGAAACAAGAAAGGTTGTGGGTTTTTGGAAGCTAAGTTCTTTTTCCGATTTTCTATTTCTGGGCATTTAGGTATTGCTTGTCAGATTAGGTCTACAGAGTTACAAAATGGGTTATCATTTCTATCTGTACTGTTGTTCGTATATTTTATTCCTCCTGCAAAACAGGTGCATCTTCTGCTCAGCATGTCGTGCATTTTTCTCTTGGGAGAGTGGGTGGTTCTCACAAAAACAAAAACTATTAAGCTCTGTAAGAGAGGAACACATTCAGCAGAAAAAAATCCAGCACAATTTAATGCTACATTCTGCTAAAATAATCTCCTTTCTTCTCCTGACACTTCTGTCAAGTCGGTGACAACGTCTGTGCATTCTCCCCCAAGTTACAACAGTAGTATTTCCTAAACCTGGCTAAACATTTTAGAAAGGAAGGCAATTTTTAACCCTCCAGCATTCAGCTCATCAGATTTTTTATTGATAATTTAGTATCAGACTTGAAACAAAGAACTCAAAATGTGCAGCAGCTAGTTTTAGTTCCCCTACAATTGTCATGGCCTCAAAAGAAGGTTTAGCAACCTGAAAAAACCTACACACAAAGGGATCTCACGACACAGGAGGATGACTAGTTATGCATCCAAAAATCAACTACAATCAAAATGAAGACAGACGTACTCATCTTTGTACAAGCTGGCATTTCATCTATAAAGGACATATGTCACCTAGGTATGGCACAACCCTCAGCATAATAGGGAGAGCATTAAGTGCTGTAGAGCAAGTCTGAAGCTCGTAAAGAGAGAGGTCAGAAAGGGACAGGGACTTCAAGGGGACTTGTCATTTCATTAACACCACTTCTCTGCACAATCTGCAGAATTCAGGCTCCAAAAAGGTTTCCTAGACCAGCGCAAAAAACCACAACCAGTGCTTCCATCAAAAGGTGTTTCATGCTGTCTTCAGCTCGGGGACATGACCTGCGTGTTAAATCTTAATGCTGTACAGTCATGTGTTTTCTCCATAAGTAATTCTTCATCTTCAAAGAAGCACTTGATTCTTTCTTAAGAGAAAAACATTTTAAAAAACTGTGGCAGTCAGGCCTATAAGGGACAGATAAGCGTTGGCCCTTCCCCTTTGCTACAGGGCAACCAGCAGGTTTGACACATCCTCAATACTCGCCAAAGGCCAGATTTTCAAGAGAGCTCAGGTGTCTTACTCAAGCATCACTAAGACTGTGCGTTGGCTAATCAAGAGAAAGAGAGAAAGAAAAAGAAGAAAGAAAAAAAAAAGAAAAAAAAAAGAAAAAAAAAAAGAGGCTCCAACTACCTCAATTCTGTAACCTTTTCTTTAGGACTGATCTTGAAGTTAAAACCTCAGGAAACCGTTTGCAACTCCTAGGCTTATATACCACTGTCCTAAGAGCTGCAGCTCTCTGAGACCCCTCACTTCCACCTTTTGCTCTCTCCATCACTGCTCTCTTTGTATTCCCACCCGTGTGCAGAATTCATTAGCCACTTGCCTTCCCTCACAGCACTTAAATAAAATGAGTGAATTTTCCAAACGATTCAACACATAAGAGCTTCTGTGGGGAAAACCCAAGCATTTAGCTTTTCAGTTCCTTCGGAGCTGTGGCCTTCAGCAGTTCTTGGTTAGACTTTTAAAGCAAATAAAAGGGGGGGAAAAAAAAAAAAAGAGAAATGTTTCTTACTCCCCCCTTTTCTCTTGCTGTCTTGCAGCCCATGGGATCAGAGCGGACGGAGATGCGCAAACGGCAGATGTCTACGACCCAGGAGACCCCAGGTGCTGCACAGGCTCAGCTCAGCACAGGAAATCGAGGGTCCAATGCCTGCTGCTTTTGTTGGTGCTGTTGCTGCAGCTGCTCATGGTAACCCCTCTCGTTCAAACCTCTGGGGAACAGAGTAGCAGGGGAGGGAGAGGGGAGGGAGGTAATAGCCAATGCATAGGACAACATAAGCCAAACAAACCCCCGGGGTAATTCTGCAAGTCTGGGACTAAGAGAGATGACTGTGCTCTAGTACTAGACACAACCACCTACTCCAGTTTACTCTTTTCTTCCCTGCCATTGAAATAACAGATTTTTTTAAAAAAATCTCTGTACAGTTTCTCTGTTGTACTTTTGTTGTCAATACTGTAATGGAAGGTCTGTTTTGTGCAGGACTGGTCCTCCTCAGCCTTGAGCTTCACCAGCGCTTCAGCTAAAAACTGAAAGCAATACCAGAATATGTAACAGCTTTAGATTTAGGACTGGGACTTAACAAGCAGCACAGACTGTGTTAAATGGAGTTAGGAGAAGGTAGAAGAACTTGTAGGTCAGAAAATGAATAATCAGGTGCCCAGCACTGTTCTTTTGTTTCGAAGGCAACTGTATCTGTTGTCATTAATTAGTGTTGCCAACTCATGGCACCTGCAATTCATATGAAGTTAATCCTTGGGATCAGAGACTTTAAACATTGTGGGTATTTCCTGAAGATGAGGAGTTAAGCAGAACGTAATTCAGAGGAACTGCTGTTACAAGGTGTTAAGGAGGAAAATTTATCAGGGAAGCAAAGCAAAAGAGGAAAAGGAATCACTCGATTCCTTAAATTAATTATGTGTTCACCTTCTCTCTCTTACCAGCTCCTCCAGATCCAAGTGATTTTATTCAAAACTAAAGTAAAGCTTCCCATACTCAAAAGTCCTGTGTCTGTTTGGGGCCAAGTGTTAATTAACGGGCACGACCAGAACTTGCATTGAAATAAAGAAAAAAGAAGTCTTAAACAGCCATAGGAGTTCAACCAAAACTGGTAGCAAGCTGAGTGCTTCTTATAAATGCACTATCCACCACATAAACACTTCAGAGCAAGCAAACCTGGCACTGAGGTGAAGGGAAGAAGTCATAAATAACCTTGCAGCCTAGGCTAGGAATCTGTTCCACCATTATTTTTTTCCAACAGCAGCTGGTAGCAAATGCTTTGGAGAACACCATTAGAAGGCAAGGGAAGAGCAGGCTGATCTTTCCATTGCTATTGGCACTCAGCTCATCAGAAGCCAAGATACCCAATTCTGCCCTCTCTAATGCAAACAGTGAATATTTTGCAAGGACAAAAGGCTGCTTGCATTTTTTTGCAAGATGCCAAGTACTCTGGCTCTGATCCTACCAAGCTTTTCAGCAGGTGCTTAGGGGTAAACTAAGGTAGAGTTTAAAAAGACAGTAAGTACTGTGCCTGTACAGCATCAGAGTTTGCTACCTTGCAGAATGGCATCTGTGTTAAAGCATCCCATCCAAATTCCAGTGTCATCTGAGCAGTTGTCCAGTGCAATCGAAGTGGCTCAGTCTAGAGCTGCACATTACACAAACACACGTCTTTCCATAAAAGGAAAAAATAAGGCACATTTATCTACTAAGTCAGAGTACCTAACATCTGCATTTTATCTTTTAAATTGTTGATAAAGTGCTTTTTTGCCATTTTACCTGATATTTTCCAGGATGCTCATTTTCTGTGCACCTCACTATTCAAACAACTCAAAGAAAGCAATTTACTCAATAGGGTGTGTGAAAGTACCCAAATTTCATGATGCTTTGAATTCCTATTTGCATTTCAGAATCATCTGGGAAACCAGTACAGGCTCCAAACAGAGCAGCTTGTTTTAGCTTTAAAATAATTTCTGATTTTTTTGAGAACAATTGTTTTCTAGTAGCAAGAAATGCAAAACAAACCGTAATTAAGCTATTTATATTCCCTATTCATAGAGCCTTTCCTCAAAATAGCTCAAGTACTTTGAACAGAAAAATTATGAATGGGAATAAAAATGACAGTCTAAAGGAGTCATGCAGCTGAGCTGCTGAACATCCAATATTCAGCATACTCTAAATAGTAGATTTAGAATGAAGAAATGGTGAAATGGCTCAGAGCCGGTGTTCATTCCTACAGCCAAAACTCAAGCCTCCAGCCTGTTATTCTTCCAGATCCTGAGCAGATGCAGTATTGCACTAGTCTCTTTTAGTTGCCTGTACATTTTGAAAGAGCCTGCCTGTAAGTCATTTTCTGGTGCATGTCATGTTCTCTTAAGGAAGCTTTTGTTACTTCCTTTATCTTTTTCCCCTTTTGTGCATTATCCTATGAAGACTGTAATCCTTTCTGTTGGATCTGTTGGTTCCCCTCAATCCAAAAATAACTCTGACAAGCATATCACTTCTTGTCTGCCTGTGAGGAATACATAATATATCAGTTTTCATATTAAAAAAAGGCCAGAATCACTGGTAAAAAGGGTAGTAAAGGATTGAGACCTATACACAAAAGAATAGAAAACTAACATTAATTACTTACTTTTTTTTTCTGAAAAGGTGAATTGAAATAGTTCATTGATGTATTTAATGTATGGTTCAGATGTTGTAGAAAAAAAATATCTTTGCAATAACTGCTCTCCAGCTTAGCAACAGGAAAGCTTCCCTACCTCTTCAATGCATGGATTGCCTTGGCAAAGAGAAAAGCATCTCATCATCTGTTCTGTATTGCTAACCTCCAGCCATTCCTCAAGCCCTAAAATGTTTCAATTCTCCATCCTCCGAGAAGGTCTCTGCAGATTATGGACTAACACTGGAAAGAGCAAGAGAACGAAATAACCAGTAAAAGTAAGGCTGCAAATAAGACAAAGCCATGAGTTTAGAAGGAAGAAAGGAAAGAAAAATCAACTGGTTTAACAAAAAGCCTTGCTAGTGATAAATGAGATTCTTAAGAATTAAGGCAACAAAACCGTTACAACATTAGCATTAAAGAAAGGTAAGATACAAATGAAGAAATTGAGTTTGACATTTTCCTAGAAGTTATAACAACTGTATTGCTTTACTTCTGCTGGTGGACCCATTTCATATAAGTTACAGGTTATAATTCACTGGGACCTCTTCCTCTTGACAAATTTTAAGCAGCTTCACAGATTATATGAATGTATGTGTCTGCATGCACATGCATTTCTCACTCAACTATGATAGCTATGAATTGGAACGTAGTCCCCATTCCCTAAAAGAAAATATGTATATTCTCAAATTCAGTCTCAAAAGAAAAAGAATCATCTACAACTACAAAAAGAATTTTTAAAAGCTAGTTTAAAAAAGAGAGTTATTCAAATTAACATTTGATAAAAGCAGCAGTAGCTGACAGCTCCCCCCTTCCAGGGGACATGAAAAACTCTCTCTCAGTCATCACTAGTGATGGCAGCGAACATTTATTTTTTCTTTAATCTACAAACAAGCTAATACTCTTTTCCAGTCAGACATACTCAAAGCGATATTCAGCAATGGTGTATCTGCTCTTTGTGCTCCAGGCCTCACGTTTTGAAGCATATACTAGCACTTTCTTAAAGTTGCAAACAATTGCCACACAATCTGGCTATATCTACATCTGAACTCTGGAAGATGCTTACACTTCCAACATCACACACAGAAGTGTCTAGCTTGCTTAAAACTTGTGCTCCATCTTCTGAACTCTGGCTTTCTTGTAACATGGTATCACAATTGTAAGTCAGAGTCTTGGCCCTCATCATGCCCTATGGATATAAAAAAATAGCCAAGGAGAGAAAAAAAACCCAAGAACAAAAGACAAAACCACCAACCTTGAAATCTAACTCACATAAACCCAGTGCATCAAGTCTAACTTAAGTAAAAACATTATATCAAGCATACACAGTATAATAAACGTCAATGGAGAATAGATTTGGTATGTGATAAAGGGTACTCGTGTATACATACATGTATACATATATATCCCATAGATATATATACACACTTATGTATACATATATGCAGGGACTCGATGATCCTTATGGGTCCCTTCCAACTCGAGATATTCTATGAATCTATGATCCCTGTACAGAAAGTCTATGTGATACAGTATGGAACAGAGTTCAGCTACATTAAACTTTGCCAGGTTTATATAACTGTAAAACTAATGTCAGAGTATAACTATGGGTAATGTAGCTCCTGTTAGCTTCTGTCCTTTTAGCCGATTTTTTTTTAAAATATTGGAGGAATACATTCAGCCTTTTCCTTTATAAAGCTGACTAAAATTGTGTTTGCTACCTTGCAGTCTTACTGTTAGAAATCAAGACGAAGAGAGAGCAAGGAGAACATCTCATGAACTCCAAGCAGAGGGTATTCCAAACTGCGAGGAAAGGTATGGTCTTTTACCAAGTGTTCTGTCACAACAGACAGTTGTTTGGAAACAAACCCAACAAACCATACTAAATAATTTAAAGTGAATTACCTGAAATATGCAAATAACTATTATTATCTATTTGTCATTTATACTGAATTTGCAGTCACCTGTCTCTTACCTCCTAAGGAACCAAAGGTCTGATCTATAATCTTCTACCTTATTTATATGCAGCATGTAACCACATCGCCACTTTCATAACATGGCAGATCAAAAACAGCATTATAAACAGTTTCCCTTTTTTCTGAAATAATTTTTAAATACTCCTGTTCCCACCCAGCAACTATGTAAAAAGGCAGCACTCAGCCTTACAAAAATAATAAAGAGGAGCTCAGATCCTCCCAAGAGTCAGGAAACTGTCTCTTCAGAATTGCTCAAACAGGTAGGAGCACCTGTAAAACTGTAACAGACAGGAGGGTACCTTTTATGGGGTTTGAATCATTGCTTCTTTCTACGTATTTTCATTCCATTTTTAACAATGATTCAACAAGGACTATTAGGTATAGAAAAAATGCTTAGCTGTTGCAGAGGGACTTCTTTGTTGAAATTACTTTGAGCAGTAAACTGCAATTTCTGCATCAAAGTGCTGGCAATCATCTGCATCTGAGCTTTTGATAAGCACACTTTCAAAAAGCATCTTATAAATATGTTTACTAGAGTTTGCACTTGGGTAGTTCCGTGGAGGAATTAGAGCCCCCTGAACCTTGCGATTTTGTTCCATCGTGATGGCAGATGCCTCCTGCCAGCTGCAAACAGCTTGAGTAACAATCATTCATTTCTCTCTTCTTGTCCTCTCCTTCCTCCTCAAGCCCTGCTCCTACTCTTGAAGAAGTAAATGCCTGGGCTCAATCATTTGACAAGTTGATGCTTACTCCAGCTGGCAGAAATGCTTTTCGTGAATTTCTACGAACGGAATTCAGCGAGGAAAACATGCTTTTCTGGATGGCCTGTGAGGAACTAAAACAAGAATCCAACAAAAGTATCATCGAAGAAAAAGCAAGACTAATTTATGAAAATTATATTTCTATCCTTTCTCCAAAAGAGGTATATTACTTTCCCCAATACATTCTTTGATGCTGCTTTGCACAGTTAGTTCTAACATGTGTTTAAAGCTAAAACAATATTCAGGGAGAACTTTTCCCCCCCACATTCCACTGCCATCAAATAGAGATTTAGGGGAAAAAGGCAGACCCATCGTTGAGGTGAGATGGTCAAAACTACTTTCACTGGCTGTAAGAAAGCTCTTCCTATGCTACCATGGCATGCTGACGTGAAGTCTTTCGTTTGAGGCACAAATATACAGATGACCACTTTATCCTTGCTCAACTTAAATTTTATTTGTTAGACAAATCAGGTTTTTTTCTTTGCACTAGGAAGGGGGTGTGTGCGTCTCTCCAAAAGCACAGTAACCACAAATAAAGTGTTATTTGCAAAGCACAAATTGCTCAAAGAGCAGCTGATAAAATATCGCATAGAACAACCACACTGACTTCCTGAAAATTTTCAAAACTACTTGTCACTTTGCTGTAAGCAAATATGTCAAGTTTCGGAGACACCTCCGTTCAGTTTGAATATAATCCTGCCAAGTAGGCTGGAATTTTAAACCTTCCAATATCCTTGCAAAACTCAAACTTAATTGTGTGCGGTGCAAGCTATACTTATGTACTTATAAAAATGCTGTTTAGATCCAGTCAGTCTATTCCACTAACACTAATATCTTTCTACAGACACTAGAGCCTTGCAGAAAAAAAATGACATTACTTGTGTGTTGTATGGAATCATTATAAAGCCATACCTGTGGTTCGCATCAATTCACCCTCCTTTTTAACACGAATTTGATTAAGCAACAGCTTCCCAGGTTACAGTTTCCGTCCACGTCATACTGCTTACTCCAAATTCAGTCTCTTTACAACAGCACTAACTCCCAAGGAAACAAACTGTCACAAAAAATTACCAATCCTCTCTACTACGGAGCAGGAAGTTGGTCTGGAAATAGTCCGCCAGTCTCTCAGGTTTCAGTAATAACAGGATTGCAGGCAGCCTTGTTCGAAGTCAGGTCGCCTCAGTGAGAACATTTCTTTATCCATACTCAAGATATTACTACTTCAAAATTTCAACACAGTCATTTTTTGCCGAAGTATATTTAGCAGTTTTTACACTCTTGAAGGACGCCAGCTGAAATGGTTAAAAAGACTGCTTTTTCAACCAATAAAACAAAGCTAAAAACCCACACGTACTACTCACGAGTATTATTTATGTGACTTTCTATTTTAATATGCAGGTCAGTCTGGACTCCAGAGTAAGAGAAGTTATTAACCGAAATATGCTGGAACCCTCACAACACACCTTCGATGACGCACAGCTTCAAATTTATACCTTAATGCACAGAGACTCCTACCCACGGTTTATGAACTCTGCTATTTATAAGGACTTGCTTCAGTCCTTATCTGAAAAATCCACTGAAGCATAGAATTTTTTCTTAAATGTATTTATTTTAAAACAAACGGAACTCTGGGATACACCAATCCACAGGGAATTTAGAATTAATCAGATATTTACCTGAAAATAACTCAGGCAAGTTTTACTACAGACTGAATGACTTAAACCCGCACAAGGCTCTGACACAATCAGCTAACTTCAGTTTCTGATCAAATTCAGTGTTACTTTGCAAAAGAGAATGAAGAGAATGAAGAGAAAATGTTGTTGTTCAAAAAACGCAGTATTTTTTCAAACACAGCACGCAACTCAGATGCAAATCTGTTATGACGTTATGTCTGAGGTACAAATGTCACCTGAGCACGAAAACTAAATTTTATTTTTAAGTGGAGTGTTAGAATTTTCTTGAAAACCAAACCAGATGCCCCATCCACACTGTGACCAAAGTAAAAACAGTACTGTCAATATCTGGGTTACACTAGATAAAGTTTCACATATCATACCTGGTGCAGGTACACTCCACTTGTCTTGATATATTTAATGCATATACGGTGCGCTAATGGAAATCGGTATGGCAATCTCAAGTTTATGAAAACTAATGGTTGAAATAATGTTGCCTATAAAAATCTTTTGCTGAAGAATTGTTATTTTACTACTGCAGTCTGCTGAAAGCATTTTTAAGTTCGTATTGTTGATGTTTATAAAGTTAAATTATTTACTTAAGAGGAAGAAGAGTCTGGGCATTTAAATTCCAAAATAAAGCACAAGAATTCTCACATATTCTTCTCTCCCCTCAGTAGGTAGATGTAAAAACCCTTCACTATTCGCTCCTGAGAGGATGGCAGTATCAACCATCTTGGTTTTGTACATATTAAATTCTCCCGTTACCTGACAGATCTTGTAAGGTTTCTATTACAGATACGCACACATTTAATTGACGAAGGAAGCTGGAACTATTCTGTTCTGATACAGCACTATTTCAGGCTGTCCGAAAGAAAAGCAACAGCTCTATCCACTAATAAACCACGTTCATTTACAGTATCGCCAAAGCATTACACTTGATTTCTGGTCGTATCTCAAAATCAGTAATCACAGGAAGTACTAGGAAGAAAGTAAATTGAATCTGCATAATCTCTGTGTAGATCTGTTATTAGAATAACTTCTTTATTTTAAATGACAAGATTCACTACAATCCCACTGTATTAAACTTTGGAGTTTATCGTGGACTTCCATTGAATTGTATTTTTTCCTGCACATTTATTTAAATGAACCAAATGACACATATAGGTAGGAAAAGGACATATGGGGAACAGAAAGAAAAAAAATACCCCTAGAAGGAAAGAACCAGACAGGCATAGTTCAGTGACATTTACGGTAGCTTTTCTAAAACCTACTCTTTGCCTAATCCCAGCACTATGAAAAGCAGAAAATGGGGACTTTCTCTGAAAAAAGGCAATGGAAATAACAAGGCAGAATTTAGGAGATCAAGTAATTGTTTCCTCAATGCACTCCGCAGGAGACATGTTCTCCCCTTACTGCATTCGCATTATTAAACAAATAATGATGATTAAACAAATAATGAGATTTTTCATTACACAGCACCGCAGGAGAAGACCCAATACACGGTAAGTTAACAATAGCTATGCACCAGATTCCATCATCCCTTTCCAAAAACAAAACGCTATTCAACATGTCAGCACAAAAAAAGTAAACTAAAAAACTTAAGAGAGACAGCAAATCAAAGTGCTTTTGCCCTCTGTAGCACAACTCTGGATAACTAAGTTAAGAGGAAGCCCTTCTATATACCACTACTTAAGACACGGTCCAGTTAGCGGTTGCCACTGCTTAACGTATCAACACTGGTTATCTCAGCTGAATTTCTAGTAAACGTACCCAAAGCACTATCAATACAATTTCAGTTTACATAAAGTATGACATGATAGTTAGTAACTTCAACAAAACAAACTATATATATCGGTAAGGCAGCATTCATGGGGAGCTTGCAGTCAAACTGACGATGCTGTACTTGTTTTAACCAGGGTGGGTAAGAGTGCTCTAAAACTCTAAGTTGATAAAGTAAGATTAACTAGGTCAAATTCAGCTTGCTGGAAAGATCAGATGCACACATCAAAAAAAGTTCAAAGTGTGTCATTTCATGAAATGGAGGATTTCATTTCTTTTAAGTTATCTCTCTTCCCGGCAAAGATACCTCATTAAGAGCTGGAAGACAGACCAAACATTTGTACTTTATATCAAACAATATCTTCTATTATTCTGCAAGAAAGAAAAAGACGCAATGAAATTAAAGGGGAGAGAAAACTATATTGGTTTGGGCAGTTCTATGGTTAACATTAGATTATTAAAAGAAGAAAATAATAATTTCTAAGCTTATTTTCCATGTGCTGCAACTTCTAAGCAATATTACAATATGCTGACATTTGCAATCCGCATCTTTTCTGAAAAATCTTAATAAATTTTAATGCTGTGTTTTAGGTTTAAGCTTACACCCAACACCAATGGCAGAATGCTGGTCCCTAGATACCCTGAGAGTATCTTTTAAAAAACCCAACCAACCAACCCACTCCCCTAAATATCTTGTTATTTTGGGGCTGTTTAATGTTGGATTTAATTGAAGGCGGAGGACACACACAAAACCCCACCCACACAGAAGACAGGTTTTTAACGACATTTCATTATTATATATTTGCTTATTATGCACAAACTTTTCTCAGGGCAAAAGTGAGTTGCCCTGAAAAGGAAAAGTTACTATAGACAAGCTGTTACATGAATAGCAGGAGAAAATAATAATATTATCACAATATATTATTTATAATTCATCAAGTAAGATATTATCACAAAATCAATTTATCCTAGCTTGAAAATAAGCATGGTTGGTTTGTCTTGGCATTTATCTCACTGCAGGATATCATTAAGCTCTAACAACTTTCCAGTCCACTGGCATTTTCTTCAATGTCTGCACTCCACAAACCAGTAACTCCCACAGAACATGCATACTGTTAAAGACTGCTCTTTTCACCAGCCTGCTAAGCAGTATTAAAATTGCATGGGCTCCTTCAGCCAACATATTCTGCTTTACACTGACCTTTAAATTCCAAAAGTCATTAGCACAATACAAACGAAGAAAAAAAAATTTTTTTATATACATATCCTGAAGGGCTATACTATATAAAGATAGATTAAAAATTATCACACAAACATCATGTACTTATGCACTTTCTGATTACGAAGGATATCTGAAAAAGAGAAAGTGATGAGAAACACTATCACAATGTGAAGTAATTTTTAAACAAGTTTGCTTTAAACAGTACTTAGGAACACGTCTTCTGCCATGAAAGGTATCAGTATGATTTCAATGACATTAATGAAAGATTTTCTATACTAATGTTGTAACTAAATTAATCCCAAACCTTTTAAAGTGGTAAAACAATTCAAGATTAGTGATGATCTAGTGAAACAGAAGCTAATATACAGCAGTATGAAATTGTACTTAAAGAGGTGAAATTCCTCAAGTTTATTTACATGAATGACTACTCATGATCTATTTCAAAAAGCATGCGTTTGAAAGGTAATACAACCACTTTTTTCGGAATGAAGACTTCATGTTGATGAATTTACGTTTTATCTAAGCTGGTATGGGTTGTAAGTTGCAATTTAAAATTCACGTGTATGACCACAAGTGGAATCCTGAACTCTGGATAAAAAAACAGGCACTTCCTTCGCAAGGCATAGAAAGTGGGCTTCGAAGTGGGATTCACAAAAGCTAAGATCATTTTAGAGCAGATATTTACCTTCTGCTTAGTGCTAGTCAAAAAGAATCATTCAGTACGAGATATTTTAAAACCCACACTTTCTCCTGAGCAAGTTAACAGAATTATGTATGAGGAAATGCTTTCTAACAAAGGATCCAGCAGCTCTGTTTTCTGAGCAACAGAAACCTCTAAACTTCCTTACAGATGAAAGATGGCATCCCTAAAGATCTACACACACACACTTTAAAAGGAACATGGCCCCCTGTTTTTCTCAACTAGATCAGTGTAAAAACCAGCTTAAGTTGTAGGGCGACTATGTGCAAGTCTCTCTTTCGTCTGAGAGGATTCAAATGTCCACAAATGTAATAAATGTGCTGTTCTTGGATGGGAGAGATTCATCACCAGTTCTGCCGGTATGTTTCACTGCATAAAATATCCCAAGATACTGGTCAGTCGTAGCATAACTGCAGCTCAGTAGATAAGCCAGCCAGCTGGGGAAATGAGATACGTCCCAGGCCCACCTCTACATTTTTCTCCTATACATCCTTCAGACTTTGCATCCTCTCCAATAGAGGAGGGTAATTTCAGACAACTGGGAAAACTGAAGCACCTGTTGAACAGAGGTGCATCCAAAGCTCACTACTGGGCAGTTTTATTTTTGGATCTGGGTAACCAAAATGAAGTATGAACAGAATTTAGGCAACTATGATCTTTTTTGGATCTAGTTCTTGGACTTCATCTTTCACTATGAGAAAGAAACTGTTCTTTTTACCTCGGGGACAGAAGAGAGAAAGGGTGAAGGCTGTTGCCCAGCCATAAGGTAACATTAGGTGAAACAACGTTTTAACTCCTACTTGGATACACGTTGGATACATCACAGAAAGCGCTATCGCAGTTCTAGCTCTTTTTAATAAAGTCCAGATATAATTTGCTAAGTACAGAAAGACAATTACTATATTTTCTCAAAAGGTAATTCTCCTAGGTGTCACAATCAGGCATAAAGATTAAAGGACACGTAGCGTGAGTGCAAACCAACCTGTGCCTGCCCTGTGTATATGCTGTGAGCAGCAGTGGAAATTTAGGTCTACTTGGCATCCAATTTGCAGTCATTTTTAACATAACTTTTTGGACTTGTTCTGTTACAAAGGTCTCCAGACAAAGCACTGCAATTGATATTAAACATCTGTCATTAGTTTGTTGCTGTCTTAAACAACTTGAAAAAAAGTCAATTATGCATCTTTAAGTAACTCTTAAGAAGCAATCCTGCCAAAGCACCTACACACAGGCGAAAAATAAACCCATTCTATTAGTAGAAAAAAGAATGTTTTCTGAATTAGGGCATTAATATCAAATAAATTGAGTTAAAAACGTTTTTATATAAAGTTATGCAAGAAACTTTAAATGCTGAACAATTTTCTGCCTAAAAAATGTTTGTAACTAAACTTCTATTTTAATCATTTTTGCTTTAGCAGAAAAGCCATTTTTCCTTCCTTGCACAAGCTGACTGGAAAAACTTGCTCTATAAAGTATTTCAAACACTTCTTGTCTTGCAAAGCTCAGGTGTCATCATACTATTTCCAACTGATTTATTATGATTGCTACCATCACGCAAAAAATATTCAACATAGAAAATCTTGTTTTTCCTTTACAGTCAAGGAATTTATTCTCCAGGAGCTGCACATACTCTTCCCATCCCCCCATGAATCTTTTATACATTGCCAGGATAGACCTCCTCAGCTCCAGGCTTCAATAAATTAAGTAATATAAACTTAGATATAATGAAAGAATTCAATCTCTTCTAAAGATGTTGTCATATTATTCCTTGAAAGCGCATTTGAAAATACTTCTAAACATGTGCACTGTTAAAAAGCAGGCTCTAACAAAGCAATATTTATATCACCCCACATACGGAATAGACTATAACAATTTATTCTCACCTGCAGGTCTATGATTGACATCAGATACTCTACATCTCAAAATTCAGTTCATGAACAAAATCAGTGTCA